GCCTGGACCCTGGCCCTGAACAGCAACACCACCGGACCCTTGGGCAGACCCCAATCCTGAACCCTTCACACAAGACGGAGCAAACTGTGCCTGCTTCTGCTGGTCACACATCTTGCTGTGGCTTTGTGAAATCTGAAAAGAGAGGTCTCATCAATACTGTGAGCCTTGGAGGGCTTCCAGAGAAATATGCAGCTTCCCCTTGAGACAGAGGGACGGGCAGGCGGGGACCTCCCAAATGCTTGGGCACCCAAATGCTTTACCCCTGGCAGCTGCCAACTGTCTCCAGCCAGGGAGCACCCCGAGAAGGAAAACCCATGTCAACAGACCCTGAGCTCACTCCAGGCTCGAGCTGAGCCTGACAGGAGCCAAGAACCAGGACCAGGTTGGCTACGGGTCTGCCGTTTGCTCCCTGATCAGTGGACCTCATTTTTACTTCCTTCATCCGTGGCCCTAAGAGAACACCCCACAAGCGCACCCAGAGGAGGGGTGTGGGGAGCACAGGTCTCTGGATTCCCTTCCCACACAGAACCACCTGCTACACCTGTCCCTGGACTCTCGCGTCCCCGGCTCCAGGCTTCCCGCCGGCTGTACGGTCGTCTGTCTTCACGGCTGTCCAGGGTCCAGTCCTGGCTCATCCTTCGTCCTGAGTCTCTGCACCCCAACCTCACCCGCTCTGTTTCTTGACAAGTCCCTACCCCAGGTGGAGAGACTTACCTTCTTTCCTGGAAGAAGCACGACGGCAAGGAGGCAAGGATCTGAGGAACCGGCAGTCGGGAGACTTTTTATAGGGCAGCAATGAGGCAATTTAATGGCATCTAATGAAACACCGCGGACATCACGAGGAGCAGGGCTGATGCTGCATTGGCGAGATTCCTCCCCAGTACGCCTGGCTCCTCAGTCACAGGCAGGGCATGTCTCGGCTGGACTTTGAATTTTCCCAGACAGATAAAATGATTCCTGCTGCCTTCTTCATGAAACAAGTCTACCTTCTTTTCCTAGAAGTTATGAGTGATGCTCATGCAATCCGTCCCTAATGGGGCTGTTTCTAGGCCACTGGAGTCTTCAAAGACTTGTCCAAGATACATCTAGATCCGCCATGTTGGGTACATGGTGTGTTGCTACCTGGATCTGGGTCTTTGTTCAGGGGGCTTTCTTGGTGGTTTATGCTGGCCTAGGTTTCGGGCACAAGAATGTAGTCCAGTGTTCTCTGGATCAGAATTGCAACAAGCCCCCATGGATCATCAGGTTACTCCGAGTACACTTGAGAAACTGGGTATGCGCTTGGTGATCCTCAGACACCTCTCTTCTAGGACCCCCTCCTCCTTCCCTTCCTGGGTCTCACTTCCAGGATTAGATTCCCAAGAACCTAGAGTAGGAGGAATCACAGCCCAATGAACCCTGTGTGATCACAGTAATAGTAGCATCTAACACCTAGCTCCATGCTTTTTAGGTGTCAAACAATCGACTAGGTGGGTACATTCACAGATGGATGTTACTGAAGCTCGGAAAGATTTAGGGAGTTACTCTCCTCCAAAGTAGGTAGGTAGAGAAACCAGAATTCGTATGCAGGAAACCTGCTTTCACAGACATGATCTTTATCACTACCGTGTGTTGGCTTTTCTGTCTGGGCAGAGCACCATCCTGGAATCCTGCCACCTTTCCTTTCCCCAAAGCAGTAGATGTTAGAAGGAAAGGTGGGATGATCGCTCTTGAGCACTTAATTTGTACCGTGAGCTCTCTTAGCCTTTTTGTCCGTGTTTAGTCTTTGCAGTTAGCTTGTGAGCCGGGTTATGTCAGCCTCATTTTTACAAAAGAGGAAACTGAGACCCAGTGGCATGACTGTCTCAATGGTTAGGTGATGGAGTATCACTGGAACCCAAACCTGTCTATTCCCAGAGCCTGAACTCTCCGTCCTGAGCCCTCTTGGGTTGCTCAGGGTAAGAGGCTAGTTTTGAGTCTGTGCCTAACACTGGCTCCAAATGTCCCGTAGGATCAGCCAGAGCCTCTCAGGTAAAAGATGCTCCTGTATTTGTCCAAAATAGATCCTGGATTCCCCTGAATCCAAAAGCTTTTAGGCTCACAAATTTCCTAAACAATAATAATAACAACAACAACAACAAAAAAAAACAAAGCCCACTATTTCAGCCAGGTCTTGTCAAGTACGCTCCTGAACAATTTGGAAGAAATAAAAACAGGAGGTTCTTCCCCAGGCTTGGGAAGTGTCCTGCCTCCTCCTGTCATCCCTGCCTGATGGGCATGTCACACTCCATAACCTCCTCTACGGAGCCCACCAGTCCCTCTCCCAGTGGGAGGGAGGAGTGGGGAGGGACTTTGGTCCAAGTCCCAATCCATTCCTGCTCCTCCTCGAAGCATCTCTCCTCGGGGTGATCCAGGCCTGACGTTCTGTTAATGGAAGGGGAAAGCAGCAACCTCTTAGTGGGGTCAGCTCCTTCCCACGAATAGCTTTTCAAATTTAGTCTTCACAGTGGTGTCTCAAAGAAACAAACAAATAGCTTGCCCAGGCTCACATAGCTAGAAGTCACAGAGCCAGAACTTGAACCAAGGCATGAGGGACTGCAGATTTAACTGGTTGTTCACCATGACATATCGCTCCTGGCATTAAAGTCCGTCTTGTCTTAGGAACCATACTTTTCAGTCCCTCAGCAGTCGGTCACTAAGAAGCAGGCTATGTTGTATGTAGGATGCAGCAGTGCACTTCACAGGAAGGTCCACAAAATAGAAAAGAGACTGGGGGTGCAGATAGGGAGAGCTGAGCTCTTCTGATTCTACCACAGCCCCGTTCTGTGACTCCACAGTGTCCTGCCCTCTCTGGGCATTTCATTTTCTCTAGTTGGGGAAGCCCCTTCCAGCCATGCTATCTGTGATTGTAGGAGGCTGTTGTAAAAAGGAAAGGCAGACTGCCACAACCTAGCTCTCCATGGAGCTGATCCCACTGTGGTTTTCATTTTCAAGCCACCCTCTAGCATCATAAGACCAGAGAGACGTTAACTGAGTGAACGAGTTAATGGATGGATGGATGGATGGGTGGATGAGGGTGCTTTGCACTGAGAGTGACTCAGACCAGGCTCCATCCATGTAGGAAGGGCTGTCCTGCAGTGGCCAGTCTGTACATCTCACATCATCTGGGAAGGCTCACTTCCTGCTCTGTGGGGTCAGAATCTCACTAATGGTTTTGACATCTCCAGGCAACGCCAACATCCCTGGTGAGAGACGCTGCCTCCATGTGCCACCTAAACAGGTGGGTGGGTTGTGCTCCACCCACTTTACAGGAGAAGTCAGATGACAGGAGCCAGCTCCAGGATGAGTCACGGGGTTATCTCCAAAAGTCCCTAGAAGTTTCCTCCCATTTGTTTCTTTGGACACCAGCTCATAGAATCACAGACTTGTGAATCCATGCAACAATAGTCCAGCAGATCCACAGGATCATAGCTGCAGATACTCATCTCTGGAGGGAGGGGACTAAAACAGGACCTGGGGATCTTGTCTCTGCCAGGATGCAGGTGAATACCAGTGTCATTTAGCCCTAATGAGCTGCTCTTCTTAGGAAGATCTACTGTTTTTAAAAGCTCCCTGTAGCCCTCCTAGTTAATTTGTTCCATGATACTTAATAGTTAAGAATATATACTAGATTAACTCTCAGGTCCCTTACAGCATCAGCATCCGTGAGACTGAAGCGGGTGGACGGCATGAGGAATAGGGCTCTTCTTTCACTCACCTGGACTAAATTCTAGAAAGGTTGTGACCTGTCCGTCCAGCCCCAGCCATGGCAGCCATTGACCTCCGCCCTTTCCCACCCCCATTATGTTGTTGGGTGAGCTCCAGAACCAGAGTTTCAGATAGTGTCCTGTGAGTGGTCCCAGCAGGGCTCTCTGGGAGGGCGGAGCAAGGAGGACTGTTTGTCTCTAGCATCCTGAGCCAGCGCAGCCATTTGGTAGGTCCTAGGACCACAACAGGAGTTTGGGTGATGCTGCCGTACCCCTGATGCTCCCAGATCTCTGAGTATCTCCAAGAATTCCTTTTACTTCTTCAGCCCCTCAAAACCCTTGAGGGTAAATAAATCCCCTGCATGGACCTCACTGTATTTCAAAAAGCCAGAGTGTCTGTTTTCATGGCTGACACTGCTATCCTGAAGCACATACAGTTTGTCTAACATAGAGAATAAGGTCCACTCTTCTCCAGGAAGAAGAGAGGCACTTAGCAAGTGAAAAGAAAAGAGAAAAATATGTGACTTTAGCTGGTGGTGAGTGTAAGAACAGGAGCAACAACCAACCAGGCTCATTTCAATGACACTCTGATACCCAGCTCAGTCCGTCTGAACTTGCTCTCAGTAAATGCATCTGAGCTTCCTGCAGGACCACATGCAAAGACAGGTCTGCAAGACCAGCTCTATCAAACCCAATGCTTCTGTCCTGGAAGAGAGCCCTCAATCAGCAGAGCTCTGTGGTTAGGGGGCTCTTTACCTCGAGGACAGAGAATGGAGAGAAGGAAAATGTTTTGCTGGATTCCAGTCCTGACTACTGGGTCTCTGCAGATGGGTTTTCTTTAAAGATTGGGTCTCCACAGTGTTTAACTAAACCATATATCCACAGTACAACCAGTGAGAGCAGCGACAAAGACCAGTGCTTTTCCCCATTCCATTCCCAGATGGACATGGGCAGCTCCACTGCCTTAACCTCAATCTTTTAGCAGGGGGGTGTTGCCTTAAATTGTGAGTGTAAAGCTACAAGTCAACTTTTACTTACATAGGTAGGGTTTTCTGTCTAAAGAATTTGAGTGGCATGTCTACTTCATGACCAAAGTATTTTTTAAAGTTAAATTTGTCTGGAATTATAGTCAACCCTTATTTATTAGTTTCACAAATAGCGCAGAACTTTTGATTTTATTGAAGGTATAAACACATGAAGAATATTCCCTGCGTGTGTGATCACGTCAGAATGAACCCCACTATTTCGTATAACTGCAGTGCATTAATAAACGCATTTTAAAAGAAGTAATTTATTAATGTTTATTAGACTGATTTTCCACCAATCCAGTTTTAAAAAAAAAAAATCTCTTTTCCTATCCAAGAAGCACTAGAATTTAGATAAAAGGAAAAAAGTGATTTTTTTTTTTTTAAGAAAAGTCGTATTGAGGCTTAAAGTAAACTGACTGTTGTGAAGCACTTGCTTCAGGATATTTTCGATGATCTTATGAATGTAGATATTGGCATAAGGCAAAAGAGGACAAGTTCACAAAATGCGCAGAGCTGTGGTGGCCTCTGAGAAGCCAGCCTTGCAGGGTTATTGGATGGATGGAGACAGAGGAGAGCAGAGGAGGGAGGCGGAGGTCACCCTCCAGGCTGGGATAGTCCTTTGCCCTTTAGGTGAGTCCTGTTCTTCAGGGATCTCCTGGCCCAGCTCAGCAGCAGCCTCCAGAGCAGCCGCCCGAGCCCCCTCTCTGCTGGCCCCCCCCCACCGCTGCCGCCACAGCAGCCACCACCACTGCCGCAGCAGCCAGAGCCCTGGTGTCGGCGACGGTGACGGAGAGACCTGCGGGGCTGGTGGTGGCTCAGGCAGCAGCCCCCACCTCCGGAACCGCAGCAGGAAGAGACCGGAGGTGAGCAAGGGGCTGGGCACTTGGGGGGACACTTAGGGGGACATTTGGGAGTGGGACATTTGGGAGGGGGCTGGCACTGCTGCTGGCTTTGCTGACAGGACGTCTTGGTGGGGTTGGGGGAGACCTGAATGGAAAAAGAAAAGAAAGGTACACTGTAACTCAATGTTCAAAGCGGTTCAGTTTTTCCCATTTTGAAGTCTCCCCGCAGGGTGACAGGGGGGGAAGCTGAAGAATACACTTCTACAGAAGCCTCTCTGAGACAAGGAGTGCGACCCCTTCACTTTTATCTCCAGATCATCTCCATTCTTCATCGACAGATGGTTAATAAGTGGTTCTTAGCTACTAAATTGAGGCACTGGAAGTACTGGAATGGACATCTCGGGCCATTGCAAGGACACGTTTAGTGTTCTGCAGTTCTACCCACGTGAATCTATGTACAAATGGAGTCTAGAAATTGGTAGAGAATCGCGTACAAAAGAAATCTGGAATATGCCTAGTCAGAAAAAAAGCTTCCCTCAGAACAACGGGCCGGGGGCAGCAGGCCAGCCTGAGCCCAGGGACAATCCGGATCACTTACCACCTCCCTTCCTGTAAGAGCTCAGAGGCGGCCCTTCCCAGTGGGCTCCTGCTTTGTCCAGAGCAGACCCTTATTCCCGACCTTTGGCCTTCACTGTGGGTCTCCACCCTCCGCCCTCCAGCGCTCCTTCTCCCAGAGTCTCTCTCCAGCCCCGTCTCTCTCCTGCTCATCCTCTCCCCCACTGGATTTCCTTGGAAACTCTCACCCGGCTCCCAGACACACTGCAGAGGCTTCCCTGAGGAGCCAGCCACAGGGACACATTTATAGGGACCCAGGGCTGGGCTTCAGGGTGAGCCAGGCCTCCGGAAGGAGCAGGATGCGCTGTTGCCTAAGTGGAGCGCGTCGTCGGGGTCACTCCTGACATTCCCTGCCTCTCTGTCCTCCCGGGAGAACAGGGTGTGGGAATGCGCAGGCTGCTTGTCTGGGACAACAGGTGGAGTCGGTTCGGGATGGCTACGTCGGGTGATTCACATTCTTCCCTCAGGCCGGGTCTCCCTGCACCACATGGGAACTTGGACTTCAGGTCGAGGGTCCGATGTTGGGGTGTCTTCCTTCCCAACCTCCCTCCGACCTCTCAGTCCTTTAGGAAGACCTTTGGTACCAGGAATCCAAGACCACCCAGGGTTAGCTTCCACATTTCCAGCCAGGTTTCAGCCAAGGGCGGTGGGTTTTTACCAGATGGCCCACCCCAGGTCTCGTGTACCCTTCTCCACACCTGTAGACCACATCAAGTCTCCATTCCCACCTGGGGACAGAGACACCGTCAGGCGAGGTGCCCTGTCTTCATATTTCTCCTCTGGTAACCATTCAACCTGGAATTCAAATATAGTATTAGATCCTAATGTCAAGTCTTAGAAAAATGGAATATAAACGTGATCTATAACATAACCCATGTCCTCATTCAAACTGGGTTTTTTTTTTGAAGTTTAAAGAAATGTAATAAAATCTAAAAAAAGATACATGATGATTAGAAAGTAGAAAGTAGATACATGGTTATTATTATTTTAAATGTATTAGATTCAGATAACATAAAATATTTCAATGTGCAAACTCTTGGTATTATTAAGAAAGATTTCCTAATGAGATACCATATACTAGTATAACCTAGATTAAAATTAGGAACAGAAATGCCAATTTACATAACAACACAAAGCTTAAAATTAGAAACCATCTTCATAAAAAGGATCAGATCCCAAATGAATAAGAACTACAAAATGTTCCACAGAGAGTTTAATAAGTAGAGAGACATACTATTCTCTCAAAAGGATGAAATTAATTTTTTTTAGACTAATTTAGAGATTTCATTACAAAAAAAAATTCAGATTTTTTTGTTGAGAACAAAAGTTACTAAAATTTTAAATACCCTTTAATATCATTCATATTTTTTGGAATTCTGCTGTAAAAAAAGAAATTTATGTTTTCCCACGTGTGTTATCTTTCTGTTGCTGTGACAAAATACCTGAGACAAATCAACTTGATGATTATTGTCAATGAATCTGACTTAAGTGACATTTGACATGGGCCTTTGGAGGAATACCTCATACCCAAATGATAGCACATTTATTTATTCACTCAATCATTGATATCAGTTGGAGCTCATGTATATTTATTTATGTTATACTTTGAGTTATAACTCAATGCTTCATTATCTATTTTTTTTCTGAAAATTTTTCTGCTTTGGCCATTGGAAGCTCTTTCCGTTTGACTTCTATGCCTGTTTGACAAACCATGTGGTTAGTTGTTTTTCCAATAGTTCTCATATCTTTTCCTGGACAACGTCATTTCAAAACTAGGGTCGGATGACACTATTGGGATGTCATTGCTTCCAGGCCTCTCAGCAGTCAGAACGAGGTGATATGCACATACGTCCTCCTCGTTCCAGGCAAGCTCCCCACCATGAGCTGCATCTCCAGCCAAAGCCCATTCTTTTTAAGTGCACTCGACACATTCGTTAACATCGACCTTATTTTGTGCCTTGAAACAAACCATAACACATTTAAAAGAAATGAAATTATATAAAAGATGTTTTCAAACCATAATGGAATAGAAACAAACCAATAACTGAAAGATATCTACAAATTTACAAAACATATGGGAAATTAAACATCACGCTTCAAAAGATCTGTGAATCAAGGAGGAAGTCACAAGCGCGGTTAGAAATCATTTTACATGAATAACAATGAAAGCACAGGGCACCAGAGGGAAGGACTAACGCAGTCCTTAGAGGGTGACTTATGGCCTAGAGCTTTAGAAAAGCTTTAGATGTGTCTCAAGTCAATGATGTGACCTTCTTAACAAAGAAAAGAAAACCACATTAAGTCAAAAGCAAGAGGAAGTCAATAATGGAATTAATAGCATAAATAAATTACCTTGGAAACAGAAAAACAGTAAAGAAAATTTGATTTTTAAAAGCTGATTCTTCTTTTTGGAGGAAAAATAAACACAATTGGTAAACTTCTAAAGAGTGACCAAGAAAAAAGACACAACTACACGTATTATTTATACGAATCCTTTGAGCAGATGGGCTTCTGGCAAATCCTCTTTGGGGCCTTGATTTCCTCCGTGGGAATGCCTTTTCCAGCGCTGTCTTCTGTTGGAGTCACTCACTCCCTGTTTCAGGTCCCTCAGGGCTGCCTCTGGCAGGGACTGTCCCTTGGCCTAATTAGAAATGCAGCGTGGACCAGGGCCAGGACTACCGCGTTTCCTCAGAGGCCATTTGCTTTTCTGACTTTCCCTTCCCTGTTTACCAAGGGAACCAGGAATGATCCAGGAAGGAGAGGGAAAGGGCCCGTCATGACATCCCAGAAAGACAGCCTGCAGAGGAGGCATGGAGGGAGGGCAAATCAGCTGTAGGGAAATGCCAATTACAACAAAACGCGGTCACATTTTTCCTGGAAAATATTTAGGACATTCGATAATATCTATAGGCCCGGACAGGAACTTTATCTTATCGACTACTGGAACAACTGTGAGTGTGTGTGTGTGAGTGTGTGTGTGTGTGTGTGTGTGTGCTGCTAGTGAGAGTTTAAATTAGCACAGTCACTGAAGAAGACAATTTGTGGTTTCTTTCACAAGTAGAATTTTCATACCATTTCCCCTATGAGCCAGTCACCTAAGCATTCCCTTAGGATTTAATTTGTCTTAGTTTTGGGTTGCTGTAGGAGAGGACCTGACTCTGAATCATGTTTAAAGAAAAGAGGTTTTGCAGTCCTTTGACAGACAGACAAAGCAAGAGGATGAGTTGGGAAAGCCAGACTAGCTTCAGACCAACCTGCTCTCATAACCAATCTAGCCCCCTGATGTCTACCCCACTCCTGGAGGTAGTCAGTAACCCCTTTTGGGGGTGGTGTCCCCGTGACCTAACCACCTCTCCACCAAGCCCTGCCTCTGGAAGCCCCACCTCTTCCCGCTATGACTGCCCTGGGAAAGCCCTGAGCCCTTGACCCTCGGGGGCACGTGGTGTGTGAAGCACAGCAGAGTCCTGTCTCCACTACTTCAAATGCCGATCACAGGTATCACACTCAGGTGATCCTATGGCCTGTTATAGTGCATTTTGTTCCATGGTTTCCTTTTCCAATATTTGTTTCCTGTATTTTTTTACTTATACATGGCAGTAGAGTATATTCTGACACGTTTATACCAATGTGGAGTCCATCGTATTCTGATTAGGATGCCAGTCTTGTGGCGGGACAGGCTGAGGAGAGTCCCCATGGTGCACTCATCATTAGGGACGTTTGTCAGAATCATTTCACTGTCTTTCCTCCTCCTGAGCCCCCTCCCTCCTCTTGATTCCCCTTTGTCCAGTCTCCTGAACCTCTATTCATCCTTTCTCCCCTCCTTGCTGCGTCTGAGCATCCACATATCAGAGACAACAGTCTACCTTGGTTTTTGAGGACTGGTTTATTTTGCTTAGCACGATAGTCTCCAGATCCATCCATTTGCTGGCTAGTCATAAAGTCATTTTTTTTAAGGCTGAATAATATTTCATTATGTGTGTGTGTGTGTGTGTGTGTGTGTGTGTGACGTTTTCTTTATCCATTCATCTGTTGAAGGGCACCTACATTGGCTCCATAGCTTAGCTACTGTGCCTTGAACGGCTGTAAGCATGGACGAGGCTGTGTCACTGTAGTATGCTGATTTTAAATCCTTTGGTATATATAGAGGAGTAGGATAACTGGGTCAAATGGTGGTTCCATTCCAAGTTTTCTGAGGAATCTCCATACTGCCTTCCAGAGTGGTTGCACCAATGGGCAGTCCCACCAGCAATGTATGAGTGTGCCTTTCCCCCCACATCCTCGCCAACACTTATTGTTACTTGTGTCCTTGAATTGCCATTCTGACTGGAGTGAGATGGAATCTCTGTGTAGTTTTTATTTTCATTTCTCTAATTGTTAGAGATGGTGAACATTTGTTGACCACTTGTATTTCTTCTGTGAAGTGTCTGTTTAGTTTCTTTGCCCATTTATTGATTGGGTTAATTTTTTTTAAAGTTGTTGATGGATCTTTATTTTATTCATTTGTTTATATGTGGTGCTGAGATTGGAATCCAGTACCTCATACATGCTAGGCAAGCACTCTGCCATTGGGTTCAGTTTTTATATGGGAAACATTCTGTACATCTCCTAGTATTTCCTATAAATTTTTAAAGCTTGTAAATTTATTATTACATAACTTGACATTAGAAACGCAAAGTTTTTCCTTTTTATTATCTCAAAATTTTCCTAGCTGTAACTAAGTACTGACCTCTTCAAATAGGTCTAGAAATCAGCTTTGCAAACTGTATTTAAAAAATTGGCTTTGATTAAGATTGCTTTGGAATTTTACATTACTTTACATTTATATTTTAATGCATTATCCACAAATAAATGGTATATTTCTTAACATCCATTCATTTTTTTTTCTTTCAAGTTATAAGTAATGTATTTAAACATTCTTCCCAATTCTTCTTGGGTTTATTTCAATGTTCTTGACAAGAGTTAGTAGTTGTATTAATTGCCTGTAGCTGCTGTAACAAATTACCAGAAACTTGGTAGCTTTAAACAACAGAAATTCAACCTCTCATAGCTGTGCAGCTAGACATATGAAGTCATGTAACTGGGCAGAAATCCAGAGAACCGTGAGTTCTCCCAAGGCCCTGGGGGAGAATCTTTTCCTGTTCTCCTTCACTTTATGGTGGTGGCTAGAATTTGTCCCTTGATCCTCCTCAGTCCAATCACTGTCTCTGTGGCTGCATTGTCTTCTCTTCCTTGGGGTAACTCTCCCTCGGTCCCCCTTTCATAAAGACACAGGTGATGCCATTAAGGCTCATTCCCATAATCCCAAGTCATCTCACTCTCTCAAGATGCTGAATTTGATAACGGCAGAGGCTCCTCTTTGCTAAAGAGGGCAACATTCACAGGTTTCAGGATGAGGACGAGGACATATCTGGAAGGCCATTTTCAGCCTAACACAGTCATATTGGAAGTGGGTGTCTTTGTCTTTAATTTTTGAATCTTCTAAAAAAAAGTTAATATATCCACTAATTAGAAGATAGCTATGCATTAAAGGAGATCCATTGATTTCCATTGATCATTATCTCTATCCATTTCCTGAATGTTTTCATTAAGTCTAGTAGTCTTTCATAAATTTTCCTACATTTCCTAGGTGGAGAATAATATCAAAATCGTAAACTTTTGGGGCTGGGGATGTGGCTCAAGCCGTAGCACACTCGCCTGGCATGTGCGGGGCGCTGGGTTTG